AAACATAATTCAATATTATCATTAACTGTGATACTACATAGTTCAATTAGTGACTCTTGTTTCAATATTACACTYTCATTAAAATAAACGGAACAAAGAAACTAGTTAATTTCAATGTTTGAAGATTGAAAGATTCCGTMCTCGAAACAGCTGGGTTTTAACTGAATTTTTATAGTTATTTTAGAATAGGATTTTAATCTGGGTCAACTTACTGGTGAAATCACGAAGTCTTGCACGGGTCTGTGGTTAAGTCTTAAGTTTTTCACTTCAAACTCCCTCTTAAAGCTCTGKTTCATTATAAATTTGAAGACAACCGTGGTTCTGGAAAATTTACTTGTTGAAGTTTTCAGAATTACAGCAGGACTTATTAGTTAGAGAATTCTTGTCAAGTATCATCCAAATATTCTCCTACAATCTTCGAAGTAGCCAACTTAGGCATCGGAGTGCGGTTTCTACCAATGCTAAAGGGAGACAGGACGAGAACGAAATTTCAGCAAGATATAGTTGCACCAGGTCCCTGGTTGCACACAATGTAAAAATCTATTGTAAACGGTCTTTAGCATAACAAAAACTGCAAATTGCCTATAGTGCATATAAATGAGATTGTATCTATTTGTGGTACTATTCGTTATTTGTTATCAGAAAGCTTAACGGAAAGAATCCGTAGTTCCTTTCTCTTTCGGACAGGGATTAAGCTTTTGATTGGTCGCCATTTTGGATGGAACTTTTGCCTTCAAGATGGCCGGCCATTTTTCACCAAAGATCTCGTTTATTTTCACAGCTTGAAGCTAAATCTTCTTAATACGGTACTCATATGTTAATTACTACTGCTTGCGAGGTATCGTTAATCAGACATCAAATGACTATCAGGTGAGTCTAGATAGTCTTGCTCTTAGGATCGAATTATACTGAATCAAAGACATTGGTGAATAAGAAACTATTAAACTTATACTTTGGGATAAAACATTCATGTTTAATTGATAAACTCTTTATCATGCTTAGTTATTCTCTTATACATGGGGCTTGGTAGATCCTCGTTGGAGTAATTTTATTCTAGCTCATGAATTTAAAACTCAGAAGGCCGCAGGAATCGTTTCAGTTTATGTACTTATTGACTGAGTGGGAGGGCCGTACGGGAAAATATTTGGCTCGAGGTTATGCCGTAGCGCAGCGAGGTCCGRACAAATGACCGAGAGCCAAAATATTTTCCCGTACGGCCCGACCTAACTCAATCAATAAGCATTATATGACAGCGCTTTTTTAATGTAAAAACAAAAATTAAAGCGCGCGGAACTTCAAGCCGGGAAGATACGGGTTTGTACGGCCCTGTCGCGAAAAGGCGTACGGCCCCCATCARGCGACCATTRCCCGAAGGTTTTTWAAGAGCGCGCGTAGGGCCGAAATACGGGTCATATGAAAAATATAGTTTATGAACCACAGAACCAAGTTGATAGTCCAAACTTGTAAAAAAAGAGTATAGAATGGATTTTATGTTTTGAATTCTGAACCCAATATGATGAATCCAATATAGTACAATCCAGGGTCCTAGCAAAATTTTTCATAGAATCCTGAATCTAGGAACTTGGATTCCGGAATTTAGGAAAGTACCGAATTCGTGTCGCGTGGRGAGCTGTTTTTTCAGTGGTGTATTGTTTATTCTTAGAAGAAGCAATTAAATCATTGAAACACATTACTATCTTTACTKATTTATCAACAGTCACGTATTAATCTGGAAACACATGATGTGTCTGGTCATATTAATCAAGTCCAAGATCTTATATTATATCTGCAAACACTCCGCGTCGCACAAGTGAAAAGTGACATCTTTGAAAGAAAATTCATATTACCAATTTCACCAGGTGGCTATCTTGTGACATATATAATATGACAATACATTATCTGTCATTCAAGTCAAAGAGTCTCTAACCTTGCCCGATTAACAAAAACCGTGTAAGTTCCTGTTTGCTGGCCGAGACGGAAAAAAAATTGATAATCTTTCCTTTCTTGACGGTAAGTGTTGTTCCAATTACATCATATTATGGCAAGTTTTCTCTAGATATTTCTAGTTTTCCAGGTAAATCTATCTATTCTACTTGTATTTCAATGWCATACTGAATTTCCTAGTTGCTGCAACAGACTCTCTTCTCTGTATTTCTCAAAATGATGAATTGCTCGCATTTGCAGTTGAAACCAACAATTTTTTTATACCAAAATACATACAACATGAAGTGATAATTATTTCACGAAGAATCAGTGTTTTCCATCGCTTTGCGGGGATTGAGTATGAACTAAAACACCAGTTCCCGTTGGAAATACTTCTTTCTCACTAACTGCAATTTCTTCACTAACTGATTATACCTATACGTTCTAGTGACACTAATCGAGTTTCTTTCCCTTTTTGAGAKTGATTACCCAAGAGATAAAAAAAATTGAAATTTTGTTACACCTGCTTCTAAAGGTAGAAATTTAGTAAGTGTAAATCGGTGCAATTATAAATTGTCGGATTAGATATCACATCGGTGAAATTAAGGTCACAATTCTCTGTATTATTGCTATGCATTATCACCTTATTTCCATCGACATGTCTGAGTAACAGTAAAAAAACAGGTCTCGGTAAACATGTATTTTCTAGTCTGTATGTGTGTACATCTAGTTTTACAGTCGTAAAAAGTTCTGGATCTAAAATACCCTACATTTGAATCATAGTTTTTCAGGTTTTTTACATTTTTATTTCATCAAAATAATACAAATGTTGGGTACTAGATTTTGTCCAAAGAAATATAAAAAAACCTTCATTGGACAAAACATTTAAACGTTTTTGGTATAATGGATGTTGGTGACAGAAAGCAAAGAACATGGCCAATTTTGTGATGAGTTATTAGTATTATTGACAAGTTTGATTTGCACAACTGCCCTGCGTTCTCACTGAAAGCTACAGTTGATGAAGTAAGCCCTGATTGTTATAATGAAATCGGAAAGAAAAGGACATCAAGTCGAAAATGTAGAAAACCACTTCAAAAAACTTAAGAAGGGTCGCGCGAGTATAATATAAATGATGAATATACATCGTGTATGTAAGAATAGATGGATTTTATATAATTTTCTATATCCCAGCAATTTTTATTTCGTTTTGATGATTGTACTTTGTAACATCAATTAATCATCCAATTGATGATCCTGGTCAGAAATCATGAAAGATCTGATCAGAAAATCAGCAGCGGATGGCAAAATGTAATTACGGTTATACCWAGACATYYCAATTGTGATAAATATTGACATTCAAGAAAAATTCCGTACGTGCGTTTTGAATTTGAAACACRGRTGTTGACTGTTCATCTGCGAATTGCTTTCTRAATCAGGACAAAGTAGATTTATGTGTATGCAGCGACATTGACCGAAAAGCGCATAATATCGACATCAAATTAGATAGTTAATGGAGATAAAAGAAAGAGAAAGATTGAAAGAAAATTAAAATTAAAAATTGTAAAAAAAAAGTGTAAAAGGGAAAACTTGAGAACTGTTTGTTAATCGGTTGTGTCTTCTCACTACTTCCTGACGAATGTCCATGATGATATCGCGACGTGACAAGCATAAATAAATGTAGCTACACGCTTGCATTGCATATTCACGGACACCGACGTAAGTYATTTGTAAAAGACGTTTATTGACATAGAGAAAATTGAAAATATTTGCTTTTTTCTAATTGTTTGGTTTAGACAAAGATTTATCATTCTTTCACTTGTTATCATTGGTCAAATGATCCATGATTCGTATCTCGTATTTTC